TTGGGGCAGCGGGCTTCCTGGGTTGAAATCCTGGATTCTGCCACTTCAGCTGTGTGACCTGGGGCAAGTGGGCTGCCCATGGCTCTGGGCTTCAGTTTCCTCAGTAAGGGAGGCAACTTTAAGAGCACAAAATGATTTAATACAGATAAAACACTCAAACTGGCACAAGTGCTCACTGACTGTTATCTACCATCAACCTGATGGGCAAAGGAGATTTGCCAAAGGGCAGAAAGCCACTCAGTGCGGGGTGGGGGGTGGGGAGGGTTGATGTTCTAGGTGGCTCTCACTGACGGATAGGAGAGAAAAATAGAGTCTGGTTTGGAGGTGGGGAGGGGAGACCTCAAAGTGCTTACCATCTGTTCATCCCGCCATCCTATCCTGACCCCAAGCACTCTCTGGCCCACAGTGACGGCGACAGTACAGCCCTTTCCTTTCTGCAGCAGACCTCCACGCACATGAGGGAGAAAGAGGATGCACAGATAAACATATAACATCATGGGGTGACTTTTACAGACATGAGGGTAAACTAGGCAGATATCTGGGGGATGAGCCTTCTGGGCAGAGGGGAAAGCAAGACAGAGACTCTGGTGGGACCAGGCTTGATGGGTTCAAGCTTATAAAGGAGATGAGCACGGCAGGTGAGATGGTTGAGGGGTGAAGTAAGAGAGGGCAGGAGGACCAGATCATGAGGGCCCTTCCAGCCACTGAAAGGACCTTGACATTCACCCAGGGAGCCCCAAAGTGTTGTGAGCAGAAGGACACCTGATTAGATCAGTGTTTTAGCAGGATCCCTCTGGTTGTCTATGGAGACCAGAGATGAGACTACTGCACCAGTTCAAGTGGAGGACAGGGGAGACTTTAGTGATGGAGATGTTGAGAAGGGGTCAGAATCTGTACATGTTTTGAAGGTGAAGCTGATAGAGTTTGCTGATGGACCAGATACAGGGGTATCAGATAAAAAGCATGCAATCAAGCATAACCCAAGGCTTTGCCTCTACACGTGGCAGAACAAACGGAGGTATCATTTAATGAAATGGGGAACACAGGTGGAAGAAGCCTTCAGCAGCTGGAAAGATTAGTGGATGAAGCACCCAAGGCTGATTCCTCCCAGAAAACCAACTTAAAGACAGCAGAGGGGACTCAGAAGGCCACGGGGCCTGTCATCACATGTGGTGGCCCAGCAGATGGCCCCGCTGCAGTGCACAGTCCCCCACAACTTAGCCATTCAGACACAGTGAGCTGAGCATGCCAGGCTCAGTGTTAGGTGGTGGAAGCAAGAACATCCCTATCTTCCTGGGCTTTGCCTCCAGGGCATTTTCACGCATGCACACACACACACACACACACACACACACACACACACCAAAGTCATTTGGGGCAAATTACTCTGGCAAGCTTCTGTTTTGCTAACTGTTGGTGATGACAATGAGATGTGTGTCACAGAATTCTCCCAGGGCTAAAGGAGATAACATTCACAAGGATGCTCTGAACCCTGTCTGGCATGAAGTAATTCATGATTATGCTCATGAACACATTCAGTCTCAACACCACTCATCCAGTCCTATCCACTGGGGGAAAGGACAAGAGCTGAGCCTCAGTTCTGCACCGGCCTCTCCCAGCAACCTCAATCCACAGGGATCCTCCACTGTGCACCCCCTGTGCTTTGTGTGTCTAATTCATTTGTCCATTCTTTGGGGAAAGCTATGGATTCATCACTAATTTTTAATTAAACACATAATCCATGAATACATTCTCTTTACTTAAAAACAAAAGTAGGAGCAATACAGGTAAAAGCATGTTTCCGTCAGGCACACACCCAGTCCCTCCTTTTCCCCTGAGAGTCAGTCTGGTGCACACCCTTACACACCTTTTTCTGTGCTTTCACGTATACTAATAGTAACCCATTGAAAATACAGAATAGCATTCTGTGGGGGTTTTTTTAACAAACATAAATAGCACCAGATCTTTTTTCAATTAGTAATGTGTTTTTGAGACCTATTTGTGCTAAAATATATGTATCTTATCCCTTCTTTCTAACTTTTGCGTAGAAATCCACTGGATAATGAGCTCCCATTTTATTGCCAATGCATGTATTGAGGTGTATATCAGATTCAGCAATCAGATTCCAGTCCACCACTGCCACAAGGCGTGTGAACCCCAGCAAGCTGCTGATCTTGCTACTTCTCAGTTTCCTTAAATGCACAAAGGAAAACTATCACCCCCTCAGCCTGTTTCTCAAGGCTGTGGTCAGATTCAAATGAGAAATTCAGGGCATTTCCACATACATGTAATCACCTTTGTACTTTATTGCCTTGCCAAGAGGAAAACTAGATCTGACCCAGGGCTCAGAGCTGAAGAAAGAAGTCCTGGCTCAGAGGTGAAGTTACTGGCCTGAAGACCCCAGCCAGCAAATGGCACAGTGGATCTACAACCCTCAGCTCCAGAAACTTACACAGATTTCAAAATGTGTCATGTCCCTACTTAACACCATCAGCAACATGAGAAATGTAAATCAAATTCATCAGATTAGCCGAAAAAAAGGATAATAAATTAGTAATCACCAATAATGGCAGAGATGACAGGGGAAGTGGGTACTTTCATACTCTGTTTGTGGAAGTATAATTTTCAGTGGGGCAATTTAAACACATTCAAACTGACCAAACTTTCTGGTCCAGAGGTTTCTCTTCTAGAAATCTACCCCATGGAAGTGTTCATAAATGTGCCTGTAATGTATGTATCAATAAAGGTCTAGAAAGGTACACACTGATAATGGTGCTACTGTCTCAGGAGCAGGATAACATGGGGAGAACATTTTTTGCCCTCCATTTGAATTTTTTTTTGGCAAGAATTCGTGTCTTTTATACTTGAACTTCTTTCACGAACCGAAAAGCATAAAAAATAGAAATCAAAGCACAAGGCCTCCCATTCAAGTCGCACATGGGCACGTGCAGCCAAAGAAAACACCAGCGGGCAGTCTCTCCTGCTCCTAGAGTCCCACCCACTCATCCCCTGATGCTGACATGCTCCTTCCACGGGAAGGTACTTGGCTGGGGACTCAGGCTGGGCTGTCTAAGAAGTGACTGTCAGGGGCTGGGCTTGCCTTCCTGCCTTCACGCCACTCAGCCCGGAGCCAATCACCTTTGGGATATTCATGTAGGATGCTGGGCGGCTCTCACTCAACTTTTAAGCCCGGAAATCCTAGCTCCGGGACAACTGAGGAAGACAACTGAGAACAATGGCACTTTTCTTTTTGAAAGCCTAGAGTTGGAGTGGGAAATGCAAGCACATGTGTGCACGCACGTGCACGTGTGCGCACGCGCACACACACACGGGACTGACATCATTAACCTGATCAACAAGACTGCCCACAGAAAGAAAATACCCTGAAATAAGTTCAAGAATGACTGGGCTGCCAAGATACTTCATCGGCAATAAATTCCCACCCACCCCCACTGCCGGAAGCCAGGGGCTCTTTGCCAGAGTTCATGATGCTTACACCACCAGAGTGACAGGCTTTCCAGGGCACACACTGTACAGAAACCACAAAATTGGAGGACGTTTATGGAAGGCTTTTGCTGAGATAAAGCTCTCACAGCTACTTTGAAAAACACAACAGAGATACCCCCTTGGCCACCGTGGGCGAGAAAGTAACAAGCCTGCCACTGAGGCCTCCCCACACGTTTTTCCTGCCATCGGCCAAAATTACACAAAGTGGAACTCAAAGCTCAGTGTCACCAATGGACAGGATCTCCTTGCAAGCAGATTCTAGGATTAAAGGGGACACGATTTGGGGGGAAAAAAAGCAGTGTGGCCAAGACAACTCAGACAACTGCTCATCCAGGGACCTTAAGAAAAGTCAAATGTTGCCCCATTCTTTAAAGCCAGCCAGGTCCCATGAACTGACAGACAGGTCTAAGAAGATGCAGCTTTCGTTCACGCACTGATTCATTCATTCCCAGGCATCTTCTGCTGGGCATGGGGCACAGACATGAAATGGACAAGTTCCCATTCTTAAGAAACTCACCTAAAGAAGTGGCTAAGGGAAAAAAGAAGTTAACGAGCAAGTGACAATATCCATTTTTTCACCCCACCTTAGTATCTGGGCCTCAGTTTCCCCTCTGCAGGTGGTGGTTCTGGCTTCAAAGCTCTGAAGTGCTTTTAGCTCAAGTGCGATACTGTGCAATCTTCCCGACCTTCAGTAACTCCAGGCTCATTTGAAGTGGCTGCCCAGACACCCAGGACAGTTTGATGGTCTGAAGGCCAACTGACCTTAATTTGTCTCCCTGGTTGAAAGGGCAATCATGCCTAAGGCTAGGATCAGAGGAAAGCCCTCTGCTTAGGCAGCTGGGCTCCTACCTGCATCAGGATGAATCTGGGGAGAAAAAAAAGCTGCTTATCATTTCCAATCTATTTCAGGGAGGCAATGTGGGGGAGAACAGAGCATTCTGCCTCAGAAAAGGGGTTTCTTTGGGGAGATTCTGGGCAGCAGAGAACGTTCTACTGAGCACCCACGATGGCCTGAGCACCCACTTGAGCCGCAGGGAAAAACACCTGAATGAAAGGCTCCTGTCCTCGTGGGTTCACAGGAAGCAGGCACAGTGGTGCCCTAATTTTAGCAGACACTGCCTCAGGCTGCCAAGAAGAAGCAAGGGGCACGTGAGCCGGTTCCTGGGCTCCTCAGGGCAGCACCACAGTGTAGCCACACTCCAGAGCCCAGACCTGTCCTGGGCCCCAGACCTCTGAAGATGAGGTCAGGCTACCAGGTGGTCTCTCACTCAGGCCTCCCCAACCCAGGCCGGCGCCTATAGCAAAACCGCTAGATTCTCCCCCATGCCCCCAACCTCAGCCTGGATCGAGCGGGTACTGGGGAGGTGGCCTGTTGGCCCTCCCGATGCCCTCTCCTCAGTGCTCAGGGGCCCGGGCGCAGGACTCTGAACCCGGCTCCGGGTCGCCCACGCATCGGCTGCGCTCGCGGGCCCCGGCCGGCGGCCCCCACACACCTTGATGACCTGCTGCTTGATGATCCAGGGCAGCACCACTATCATGACGGCGCCCAGAACGGCGAACAGCAGCCCGGTGACGCCCAGCGCCGCGGCCGTCCGGCGCGCTCTGGCGCGGCTGCCCATGTCTGCGCGCCCTGGAGCCCGCCGGGGTCGTGGCGCTCCGCGCCTGGGGAGCTCCGGAGCACAGGCGGCAGAGGCGGCGACTCGGATAGCGCGGACCGCAACTGCACGGCAGGGCCCGGACGGCAGCTCACGGAGGAACGGCCCGGCAGGTGGCCAGCCGTTTTATGAGCCATCGCAGGCGCCGCCGGCCCACCCCCGAACGCTCAAGACATGGGGATTCGGGCAAGCTGCGGCGGGGGGGCGGGGCCCCGCGGTTCGGGGCAGGGCCGTGGGCGGGATTGTGGGCGGTGCGCGGATCGGAAGGTCTTGGGGGCGGGGCCTCGTCCTCCAGGACACGCCCCTCCAAGTGGCGGCTGGCCCTGAGTTCAGGCTTCCGTTTCCGCGGGGGGCGGCCGGGTGACGACCGGGTGACAGTTGGACCAGGCGCCCCTCCCCTCGCGTCCCTCCCTCTCTTGACCACTCGCTCCTTGTCCTGCTCCCCGTCCTCTGCCTCCCCTGGTACGCGTCTGGGGCCCTGGCTCTCCTCCCCTCCCACGTTCTCAGTCGTGACCGTCGTCGTCGTTCACACCCACTTGCCCCGCCTCCGCCGCGGCGACCTCATTGCCCAGTCCTTGAAGCCCCCACGCGCGCACACCCACCGTCACACACCCTGTTCCAGCGTCACTCCTCCTGGAACAGGTCCGCAGGCTCCCCCTCCGGGGCCTTGTGCGCCCTCCACTTGAATTGTGTTTCCCCGGATATCTGCCGGCTCCCTCTTTCATGACCGCTTGGCCCCCTTATCAGAAATGCCTTCCCGCCACCCTATGTAAAATAAAATAGCGCCAGCCCTCCCAGCCCCCCTTATCACTGGGCACCACCTGGCGCCTTACACACTCACTTGTTCCTTGCATTCTAACAACCCCCTAGCTAGAACACTGCAAGCAGAGGCTGTGTCCCCCACCCCTTGCCCTGTCCCCAGCTCTAGAACAATGCCAGGCAGGTAAGGCTTGCTCACTGATGCACACTTTACAATGAATGCATGAGGAGCCTTGCACAAATGGCTCCATTTTACAGATAAGGAAACAGGCACAGAGAGGTTAAGTCAACAAATCTAAGTTTTGCTTTCTGAGGAGGAGGGAGACAGAGGTGAGCAAGTGAGCAAATGAAGGATGGGTAATGGCAAATGGGTGCTTCGCTGGCACGCACTTCTGGTAGTCCTGGGCAGCCCACACCTGGCCTGCTTCCTGGTACCTGCAGCCCCACCACCTTGTACTCTGTTCTGGACCCTGACATAGGCGAATCCCCTCACACTCCAGGTGGGGTTACTGAGAGGCAAAAAGACTCCTCCTGGATTACAGGGGATGGAAGGGCTGTTTCTCCAACACCTGCGAGGACTCAGAATGAGGCGTTCTGAAGCTCTTCTTCCACCCTGGAAGGAAGCAACCTTCAACCAAGCCCATGCTTAAGCAACAGGGCCTGGCCTGAGCCAGAGTTTATGGAGCACCTATTGTGTGGAGCTGGAAAGCTTGGTACTGTCCTCACCTCAGGAGACCCAACCTTTTCCAGAGTATCAGGAGCAGAGGCCCAACTACTGACCTAGATCCAGGGGCACACACAAGGCTATGTGTCAGGTGGGAACAAGTTGAGAGAAATCCGTACTCCGGGGTTTCCACTCCAGAGTCCTGGGGCAAGTGGGCTTAGTCCTCTCTGCACCTTAGTTTTCTCACCTGTCAAATGAAGGTAAGCCTCTCCAAGGCTGCCGTGAGGATTAAACAAGTCAGAAAACTCTGACAGTGCTTAAACAATGCCTGGCATGTGTGAGACAACGGGGGCTGGCTGTCAGTGTTGTCCAGAGGTCTTGTATGACCTGGCTGCTGACCACTTTCTGCCCCCGCCCCACAGCCTCTCCCCTTGTCCACCCTTCTCCCAGTCTCCTGACTTGCTTTCTGTTTCTTGAACAGCCCCAGATTTCTCCCTGCCCCAGAGCCTTTGCATTTGCTGTTCCCCCAGCCTAGAACTCTCCTCCCCCAGATCCTCCCAGGGCTGACTCCTTCTCCTCCTCAAAAGCCCACTCCTCAGAAAGGCCTTCACGGTTTAATCAGTCAAGATGGGAGCCCCAAGCCACAATCACTCCCCATCAAGTCACCCCATTTCTCTGAGATTGTCTTATCCATTTATGTGTTTATTCCTTCTTCTCCCACCAGCTACCAAGAGAAGCTGGTCTGTTTCTGTTAGTGGATGATCCCAGCACCTAGAAAAATGCCTAGCACATAGCACATACTCCTTAAAGACTGAAGTAGTCAATTAGCTAGGTAAGTCTTTAATTAACCAATCAAGTAACTAATTGATTAGTTAATTTATTTCACTGTATTTCTTAAGGCCATCAACAGCCATCAGTTACAAGGACTGTTTCATTTCTATTGACTTTTATAGTCCTTGGGAATTAACCAATCAACTAAAATCTGGGGTCAGCCCTGGCCCTGACACCTCCCCTTTCCTTGATACCCATTTTGCCTCAGCAAGGACCAACTTGCCTTTGACCATGGCCCCCAATCTAACGTTTATTTATTATCAAGTCTTCAAGGTCCAAATGTGCGTGGTGCTTACTCAAGAGAGCCCCAAGGCCAAGGCAGGAGTGTGCTCATGTCACACCACCCAGTCACTCTACAAGAGAGAAAGGCAGAGATGAAAGCTTGTCTGACACACGTGACCGGCTGTGACCTCTCTGGGGAGAGTCACTTCCCATGGCTGGGCAGGGGCAACATGAGAAGCAGGAAAACAGACTTCGTCATGTTTTAGAGAGAGGCCTTGCCTGGATGAGGAAAGACTAAGATGCAGGAGAAAAAGAAAAAGTAATGATAATAAAATATTATCAGCACAGATGTAAAAACAAATCAGGTGACATTCCTCCTCCCATTGTCAAGGCAGCTAGTGAGTGTAGGTAAAGATGTGAAAACTTAGAACCCTCCTATACTGCTGGTGGGATTGTAAGACGGTGCCGCTGCTCTGCAAAGCAGTTCCCCCAAAGGATAAACAGAGCCCTGTTTAGACCATAAGACCCATAAGACCTGATAGCTACCAGAGTCCAGTTCTGGGTATAAACGAGAGGAAGAAAACCATGTCCACACAAAAAGCTGTGCACCAATGTCAACTGCAGCACTATTCACCACAGCCAAAAGGTGGAGACAGCCTAAATAGCTGATGGATAGATAAAATATGCAATATTATTCAGCATAAAAAGGAAGGAAGTGCTGACACGTGCTACAACATGGATGTACCTTGCAAATGTTATCCTAAATGAAAAAGTCAGACACAAAAGGTTCACCTATTATGAGTCCGTATATAGGAACTCTCCCAAACAGGCAAATCCATAGAGACAGTGAGCAGTGTTTGCCTCGGCTGGGGGACAATCGGAAGTGGCTGCTAAAGGGGACAAGCCTTCTTTTCTGAGGTGCTGAAGATGTTCTAAAGTGGATTGTGGTGGTGGTTGCACAGCCCTCAGAATAGACCGAAACCAATTCAATTGTACACTTCAAATGAGCAAATTGTACACTACATGAATTAAATGTCAACAAAGCTGATATAAGAACTAACAAAACTTCCCTATGGCTCCCACCTCACTCAGAGGAAAAGCCAAAGTGCTCACCACAGCCCACAAGGTCACCGCCACCTGCCTGACCTCAGGTACCCCTCTCCGCAGCCCACTCTGTTCCACCTCCTGGGTGAACCTGGCCCCTTGCTCATGCCTCAGAGCCTTTGCATCTATCGGCCCCTCTGCTGGACATCCTTTCTCAAACCCCCAGGTGGCTCACCCTCCCTTCGTTCCACTCTCTGCTCAAATGTCATCTTCTCAGCGAGGACTTCCATCCTATCCACCATTTTAAAATTACAAACCACCCCCACAATGCTTCCATCTCTCTTCCTGCTTAATTTTTCTCCATGGTACTTATCACCACCAGCACACTACATAACACATATGTTTTATTGGTTCACCTGCCCTCTGGAATGAATGAAGTTAGGAATCTATTTTGTCCACTACTATGTCTCTAACTCCTAGAACAGTTCCTGCCACACAGCAGGTCCTCAACTGATGTGCATTAATGCACAGCAGCTACCAGAGCCCAGTGGTTAAGCGCCTACCTTTGTACCCAGATGGCTTTGGGCAAGTGGCCTAACCTCTCTGTGCCCTGGCTTCCTTATCTCTGCAATGGGGATAATGCCAACCTCCTGGGGTAGTCAGAAGGAATAAATGATTTCATCCTGGTAACACACTTAGCAAGGTGCCAACATTAGCCAGAATCATCAATCCGTGCAGGCAGCCACATGTTCTGGCCCCACCTCAGCCTGGGAAGAATAATTATCAGCCCCCGGACAACGGATGAGTTCTATCTCTTGGGAGATAAGACTTGGTTAAAAGGAGTCACAGCTGGCTCGTGGCAGAACAGGGACTGAAATGTCACTTGTCTCCAGAGCCAGGGCTTGAATCACTACTCTTTGCAGAGGAAAAGGAAAAACTGGAGAAAGGTTAAAGAGGAAATAGTGGAGGGAAGGGAACAGTGAGGGAAAGGACAGGAAAAAGAGAAGGAGCCAATGAGGGAGAGGAAACAGTCGCATTGGCCCACATCTGCCACCTTGCTCACTGCTGAACAGGCAAGAATAGCTCCTTCCCTCCTTTTATCACATTTGTTCGTTTCATCCATTTTAGCACGTACACTGAGCATGTACTATGTGCCAGGTACTCTGCTAGGTGCTGGGGACTCAGAAGTAAACATGACAGAGCTCCCTGGCCTTGCAGAGCCTACAGTCCAGCAGACAAGCAAGAGTGATAAATAATCAACATAATTATTGGTATATTTTGTAACATGCCAGAGCTGTGCAGTCCACACACTGGCCATGTGTGTGTGCTGGGCACTCCAGATGGTGCTGGTCCCACATGAGAGGTGCTGTGCCATACACACGCCAGGTTTCAGACTTAGTATGAAAGAAAGAGCATAAAATATTTCAATATCTTTATATTGATTACACATTGAAATAGCAACCAGGTATGTTGGATTAGATAAAATATACTATTAAAATAAATTTCACCTTTTTATTTTTGAAATGCACCTACTAAAAAAACATTTTAATTGCATATGTGGCTCTCATTGCACCTCTGTTGGACAATGCTGTTACAGGATGATACGTACCTTAGGGGAAAAAATAAGAGAACAGGGTAAGTGCCACCAGTGGGGAGAGGGTTGTGATTTAAATGGGTGGTTTGGGAAGGCCTCTGTGAAAGGGTGACATTACACTGAAGATCCAAAGGAAGGGCAGGAAGGAACCATTTGGATATCTGAGGAAGAGTGTTCCAGGCAGGGAGAACAGCCAATGCAAAGGCCCTGAGGCTGGTGTGCACCTAGATAGTTCTTAAGATGCTAATTTCTCATGATGATGCATATGACTTCTTAGGACCTGTTTTCCTTCTGTAGGTGAAAATGCCCCCTACAATATTGTGAATATTAGTGGAGTTCTCCAAAATTCCCAAACATCCCCTAGGAGACTCAGCCTAACCCCTACAAATCCTGACTTCCTGCAAAATTCCCCCCACCACCTTGCCAGTCTCCTGCCACCATTTTCTCTAAGAGCTGGCCACTGAACTGCATCTTTGCCTCCGCTCTCAGGACTTGAGATATCCCCACACCAGTGAACACAAAGTTGCCAAAACAAAAGTACTTACGGAGACAAAGGTGGAAGTGTGTGGGGAGGACTCAGCGGGCAGCTGTGAACTGATAACTCTGCTCCATTTCCACCAGGTCACAAGAGGAGAGAAGCTTCTGTCAGATGCCATGGCCCACAGCAGCTGGCCACATGAGGATGGTTCCTATCCCAGGACCCAGAAGGCTCCTCTAAAGTCACATGACCCTGCCCTACCTACCCAGAGAGATGTTCACATTCATTCATTCTTCATGTAGCAAATACCTGCTGAGCACCCACTCTTTGCTGGGCCTACTGTGTGTTATGAGCTGGGGATAGAGTAGTGGACCAGAAAGACAGGGTCCCTGTGTCCTGGCCTTCTTTTTTAGTTGGGAAGAGAAATTTAAAAGCAAAACAAACAACAACAACAACAACAAAAATCCCACAAGCAAATAAATAAGGATCTTAGATGATGTTAAGTGCTAATGAGAGAAACAATGGGGTAATACCACAGAGAGATGAGGGGGTGGAGGGGTGAAGTATGAAGGGCCAGAGCCAGGGGAGGACATCTCTGGCAAAATAAGCAGTAAGTGCAAAGGCCCTGCAACAAGGAGCTGTCCAGTTTGTTCAAGGGCCAGAGAAGCACAGATGGCACCATGAGGACCCGAGGTAAGCTTCAAGACAATTCACTCAAAGAGAAAGAAACAAGGACAGATGAAGCAACAGGGACAAAAAAACCTGGATAATTGTTAAATCTGAGAAATGGGCATGTTGGGGAATTCATGGTACAGTCTTTGCTCTGGTGTGTGTTTCTACTAAGACTAAATGTGTGTGTCCCCCAAAATTCATATGTTAAATCCTAACACCCAGTGTGATGGTGTTAAGAGGTGGGGTCTTTGGGAGGCAGTTAGGTCATGAGGGTGGAACCTGATACATGAAATAAGTGCCCTTATAAAGGAGACCCCAGAGAGCTTCCTCACCCCTTCTGCTAGGTGAGGACACAGGGTCCCAGGTACCACCTATGAACCAGGAAGTGGGTTCTCACCAGACAGAGAATCTGCCAGCACCTTCACCTCTGACTTCCGCCTCCAAAAGTATGAGAAATAAATTCTGCTGCTTATAAGCCACTCAGTCTGTAGCTTTCTTCTAGAGCAGCCCCAGTTGACCAAAACAATTTCTTTTCTTTTCTTAAGAATAAAAAAATGCATCTCCCTGGCCACTGTTTGGAGGTCAAGAGTAAAAAACGTGGCTTAGATATGATAAGATACAGTTGTCATATCAACCATACCTCAATAAAAAGAAATGCAGTTGTCCTGTGTTATAGGGATCTGGATTGGGGGAACCAGAGACAGCTGGATGGATTCAAGGTGTATTTGGGGTACAGAACCCACAGCTCTAGCAGATGGATCAGGAGTGAGGGGCTACTGAGCACCTACCTATGCCAGTGCTGGGCCTGGGGATCCAGTGGTGGGCATAGCAGCTGGTCCCACTTCCTGGGAGCTCATGGTCTTAAAAGAGAGACTGACAATGAAGAATTTGACACAAAGCCAAATTTGACACAAAGCCGAATCACAGATCTGTCACAAATTGCATCATAATAAAGGAAAAATAGAGGGTCCTAGAAGAGCTTGGCAGCAGCAGGTGCTGTGTCAGGGTGTCCTCCTCCCCCTCAAAGCCATCTTCCGCTTCCACCCCGTGCCACCCAAGAAGATGACTGTCACAGGCCAGGTCAGCAGGCTTCCTTGTCCTTACGTGTCCAGCTGCCTCTGGCCAGTGGGAGGGAGGCGATCTGAAGAAGGTGAGGGAGAAATGAGACACTATTCCCCAGATTCCGCCCATGCTATTTCCTTAAAGATTAAAAGATTAAAGATCCTTGGCTACTCCTCTTACAAAGAATCTATGTCCCCTCCCCCCACATCTAGGCTGACACTGTGGCCTGTTTCAATAGGATGTGGCACCAGTGACACTGTGGCCTCCAAGAGGGGACCCTAAGCGATCAGCAGCTTCTGGCCTCACCTCCTGGAACACTCCCTCTTGAACTCGGCAGCCACGCTGGGAGGAAGCCCAAGCATCTGGGTGAAGAAGCCACGTGAGGGGATCCCAGCCCCAGCAGCAGCCCAACGAGCCCCCAGCTGGCAGCCAGCACCTTGAGGGGCCATTTGGGACCTGAATCGCCGTTTCTACCCACACATCGGGAGAAATACCTAAATGGTGCTGTTTTAAGTCATTACATTGTTATGCGGCAACAGCTGACTGAATCAGCAGCCTCCTCTCCTTCCAGGTCCCGACCCTTCGGCTCAAGGGCTGAGAACAGCCTCTCCGTCCTTTGTTTTCCCTCTGCCTTTGGAAATAGCTCCTCTGTTGAACCCTCTTGAGAGTCTCCTATTTTGAGCGTGCTGTCCACTTCCTGCTCAGACCCTGGTGGATACAGGAACTGATTCTGTGGGAGAAAAGGAATTAATTAACGAAGAGGAAGGGAGGCCCAGAGGCAGTGTTCTGGGCAGAGGAAAGAGCGGGGACAAAGCCAAGAGCTAAAAAAAACGTGGTCATTAAAAACAGCAGCAAGTCTGGAGCTGGGCAATCCAGGTTCAAACCTCAGCTCTCCTCTGTGCTTGATCCTTAATTCCTCTGGGCTTTGACCGCCCCACCTTTAAAGTGGAGCTGATAATACCTATCTCAGATGGTTGTGGTGTGAATTAAGTGAGTTCATATCTGTGAGGCCCTTAGAACCTCAGTATGTTTGTTAAATACAACAAACTGAAAGATCCTGTGCTGGGAGGGAGAACATGAAATACGAGACCACAAAGTAAGCAAGGGCGTGGCCTCAAGGACTCATGAACCTGAAAACGCCCTGAGCAGATGGGGGCCTCGCAGGAGTCGAGGGATCCACTTTCATCCCCCCATGCTACCTGAAGCCCTTAGCCTGAGCACACCTGTTTTGGACAATGCTGCAGGTTCCATCTGAACCTGGACTGTAACAACAGAAATCTAAAAACAGCTTGTATTTTTTGAGCACTTACTATATGCCAGGCACCTTCCTAAGGGCCTTAGATGTGCTGACTTACTGAATGCTCATGCTGCCCTGAGAGGCATGTGCTGTTATTATCCTTTTTCCCATTTCACAGATGGCAAAACTGACTCCCAGAGAAAGTAGCTGCTTCCTCAATGCGATAAGACCAGGCCCTCACCCACTGCGAGGCCCTCATCAGCGGAGGTAGGAGCCCCACCCTGAAGACAAGAGTGGGAAAGGCTAAGCCACAACACCCCTGACCACCAGGGAAATACGAGCACAGCCCCGATGAGAGACTCCTTCACACCTGTTAGAATGGCTATTGGTCAAAAAAAATGCAGAAAATAACCAGTATTCGAGAGGATATGGAAAAAACGTCTCAAAAGAACTACGCCCAAAAGAAGTGAAAGCACAGACACAAACAGATATTTGCACACCCATGTTCACAGCAGCACTATTCACAACAACCAAAGGGTGGAAGCATCCCAAGTGCCTGTCATTGGATGAATAGATCCATGCAACATGGGTCATCCACATGCTGGAACATGACTCAGCCTTAAAACCGGAGGAGATTCTGACAACGTGGATGAATCTGGAAGACGTGATGCTAAGTGAAATAAGTCAAACCCAAAAGGACACATAATGTGTGGTTCCACTTACATGAGGACCCTAGAGCCATCAAATTCACAGAGACAGAAAGTAGATAGTGCGCCGCAGGGGCTGGGGAGGGAGGAAGTGAGGAGTTACTGTCTAACGGGAACAGAGTTTCAGTTTGGGCAGATGAGAAAGTTCTGGAGATGGAGGGTGTGATGGCTGCACAATGTGAATGTGCTTAGTGCCACTGAACTGTGCACATGAAGGAAGGAGGGACGGAACCTGCACAACACAGAAATCTGAGGCAGCCGAGGAGAGAATAGGGTTCCTCCCACAAAGTGCAGGGTTTGTGGTCACAGCTTCAAAAAACCTTTTAGGAGCCTGGAGAGAAACACCTAAGAGGAAGCATATTTGGGAGTTGGTCTTTGATCAGAACTAGGGAGCAAAGTTTTCTGCAGCCTCCAAAGAGGGAAGTCAGGGAAGGTGGGCCTGCAAACTGTCTAAGCCTGCCCAGGGAACATCTTCTTTCCCCTCTATTCCTGGGCCAGAGAG